CGGGGGGCAGGCGGCCTTGCGCGTCTCGCACTGAGGAGGCGGAGCCAGGAGGGGCCCGCGCGTCTTCCTGCTGGGCAGGGGCAGTGTGCTGGGCGCGTGTGGTTTTCCTCTGGTGCGTGGGTGTGGGCGGAATGGCCAGGAGGATAAGCCTTTGTGGTGATGGGGTGCTCGCAGTTCTCGGAATTTGCCCAGAAGTACATGCAATATCAGTGTGTGGTCGTTGGTCACTGTCTTCTGCCCTGAGCAGTGTGGCGTTCTGTCCACTTGGCTCCTGATCCGTCCCGGGGAGATGACGGAGGAGCAGCAGGCTGGTGGCTGAGTGCGGTGTCAGGGGTGTCCCCGGGGCACCCCGAGGGGCTAGGCTTCTCGCCTCCCGCACCTGTTTCTGCCACATTCCCCGTGACTGCGGGAGAGGTGGCTCAGCTGGCACCTGCAGCACCCGGGTGTGTTCGCCACCTCCCAGGCGAAGCCACTCGGGGCGGAGGGCCCCCATCCGGACGGGCTCACCCGGCCCCGGTTCCCAGGACCTGGAGGCCGCAGCGCTCAGACCAGGGCAGCTCCGGGCAGGCAGGGTGGTCAGTCCTCTCAGACACAGCAGGAGTTGCCTCCTCGGATGAGCGTGCGGGACCTCCGGGCTCGAGGGACCGCAGGGGACACACGGGCACTGTCGGGAAGGCGTCACGTGCGGTGAGGCCGCCGTGGGGGCGAGGACCTCCCCGCGGGAGGAACAGGGGCGTCTCGCCGGTTGTCTGCTCAGCACCGGGGGACGTGACGCGAACCTGTCCACCACTCTGCAGAAGTCTTCGTGGAAATACCACTTTCTGCTCAGAAACATTTTTGAGGGGTGAGCAGAGCCCGCACTGGCGTCTCTCTGAACAGAACGGGGCGTCAGGCAGGTGTGGCCCATCTCACTTCTGTCCCCAAGAGCATCTCTTAGTGTCCCGGGAAGGCCACCCTCAGCCCCCTGTCCCCTCCCGGGGCCCCTCCCGCACCAGCCCCTCCGAGTTCCTCTCCGAGCCGGTTCTTCCTTAGAGCTGCCTGTTCCTGTCTTCCCGCATCTCTTCTTTGCTTCGTGGCCCCTGGATTTTGGTGAGCAGGTAGTGCTCTGTGGCTTTTTAGTGAAGAAAGCCGCGAGGCCACGTGTGCTCCTGCCAGGGTCTCGCCGGGTCTCCAGGCCACCCTGCAAGTCTGCAGCTCACAGATGCGGCGGCTGTGCTGGGGGGTCGACCTGATGGCTCTGGTCCCTGGGGCGCCTCCCCCCTGGCAGAGCTGGGGCAGGTCCAGGGGCTGCTCCTCTGACTTTGCCACCACGTGTTGGCCTGGAGCCACCTGGGCCACAGGGGGACCCGGGGCCCCCGTGGTGATGGGGAGGCAGGTGGGGATGTGTGACCGGCGACCCCCCTGGCGCAGGCTGTGACTGCTGGCGAGGAAAGGGCGACTGAGAGCACCTTCGAGTGGCTCCGAACGAGGGCCCTGTGAGCACTGGCCGGGTGCCCAGCTCTCCAGTACTTGTCACACATTCTCATTGAACCCTTTTTCGACATAACCTTGGACGTGACTCCTAACGTTCCTTTTGGCTTTGAAGTCTCTGCTCCTGTGACCCTGGTTTTGAGCAGGTGTCGGGACAGATGGCTCGTGAAGGAATGACTCAGATGGGCCGCCGCCCTGGTGATTTCTAGGCACAGCAGATCCTGACTGCGTGTGTTTTGGGAGAGAGGACCCAGTGTGGCTGGGTGACCGAGGACAGTGACCAGGCAGGCAGGGTGGCCGAGTAGAAACCAGGCCGGTTCGGACCCGAGAGGAGAGAGTTGGTGGGATTGCAGGCGGCACGGCCTGGGGAGGAAGCCAGCAGCCGGCGAGGCCGGCCCCTCCCCCACCATCCGCTGAGCACCTGGGGGGGGGGCGGCCCCTCAGGCGGCGTGTGCTGTGGGCTGCGGGCCTGGGACTGGCGGTTTCCAGGGAGAAGCCGAGAACCGGAGACTCGGGGGTCCAGGGCCCTTCACCTGAGTCCGCCTGTGGGCCTCTCTCTTCGCCGCAGGAGCACAAGGCCCTGTGGCCTCCCCACAGCCTGGCCTCCACTGGCCGGGCGGGGTTCTAACAGCCCCCCCGACAGGGTCTCTTGTCCTCCTCTGACCACTGTAGATTTCAGATCCGACAGACAGTTAACCCGGCTGCTCCTGGGTCCTAAACCCGCCTCTCCGGGGGCCACTGCTGCCTTGCTGGGCTCCTTGGAGTCTCCTGTACACGCCCACAGTGCGGGGTCATCCAAGGACCTGGGTGCGGTGGACGTCTCGTACGTGGGCTCCCTCCGTGACACCCCTGTGAGGTTTCTGCCCCCCTCTGATGCTTGTCAGGCTGCCCCGTCTCGGGTGCCCGCCCCGCCAGGCGTCTGAGTGAGCCGTTCGGCCCGAGCTCCAGCCGGCGTGCTCGGCGGGCACTGCGATCCCCGAACGCCTCTCTGCCCGTGTGAGCGTCCCCAGTGCCTTCCGAGTTTAATTAATGAACTTCATTTCTTAAGACTTGTGTAATGATTAAGGAAAAATTGGGCAGCAAGGACAGACTTCCCGTAGACCCTCCTTCCCGGGCTCCCCTGTTACTGGTCTCTTGCTTAGTGCGGTGCTTGTTACAGCCGAGCCACTGTGGACACATTGTTAACTAGTGTCCACGGCTGTATTACCGTTCACTCTCTGTGTGGTACGTTCTCTGCAGCGGTTACTCTGTATCTTGTCCAGACTTTTGTTTTCTGTTTGAAGGGCCCCATCTGAGGACACAGTCGCTCCAACACGATCAGAAGCAGAATCACCTGATGCCTTTATTTCTGGCTCACACATGTCTTTTTCCGGTCTCCGGAAACACACGTGAATTAAGGGAGTCCCCGAGGAGGGTGAGAGCAGAAAGGCTAGCAGGTCGAGGGGTGGCGGGGGTACTGGTGACGGTCGGGCTGTCCCCTCAGGCTGCCTTCCTGTTGTCCTTTACGTACCAGGAGACAGTGCAACCGGGTGCGGCATTGTCTTCAGGAGTTAATCTCCAGGAAGCAGGGTGGAAGCAAGAACGTGAAAAAAAACTTTGCGTGGTATTAATCTGGCTCGGAGACTTGGGTTGTGCAGAAACTCGGAGGACTAAATGCTGGGGCCCTTTGGTGAGCCTTGCTGCAGTCAATGCCTGCTGATCTGGAGGATGAAGCCCCAGACAAGCTGACCAGAGGGTCTCACATCACGACTGCCTGGTGCAGTCGAATCTTCGTAGCCATTCATTTCTAGGTGCTCAGGGAGGAGAGGCCGCTCTGGGGGAGGGCCCCCGCCAGGGGTCCTCCGGTGAGCTCCGCCCCCTGCAGATGCGGCTCCGCCCCCTGCAGATGCGGCTCCTTCCGGAGGGAACCTGCCCGGAGCTTCCCTCTGTGCCCCGCACCCCACATTTCCTGACGCTTGGGGATTCCCAGCCCAGGGCACCCTTTCTGAGGAGGAGGAGTTGGGCTGGGCGGAGGGAGCAGGTGGGAAGGGTCCCGTCCAGCCGGGCGTGTTCAGGCCCCGGCTGTGGTCTCCCGGGCAGCAGGCCCCTGCTGGGGTGGCAGAGACCAGTGTGCAGGGCCGCACAGCCCCCAGGTACCTGCAGCGGTGGCCTTGCTTGGCCACGAGGTCTCAGCACTCCCCGAGGGCTGAGGGGACAGGGCCCTGAGGGTCTGACCACCAAGTGGGCCCCGAAGGCTGTCAGAGTGAGTATTGGGGGGAAGCGTGGGGGCTGCCCCCGGCCAGAGGGCCTTTGAGGTTGAGCGGTCTCGACAACCGGCCTTGCGTCAGGCCTGGCTCTCTGGGTTGCTGTGGTGCCCACAGACTGCGGGGCCCTGGTGAGCCCTTAGGGGGGAAGCGCCAACCACAGTGGATCCGACCTCGCCGTTACACCGAGGGGCTGGGACCCGCCTGCAGGGCGCCCTCGGGCCCAGAGCCCGTGGGCCTGCTGCTCCCTCCGTCTGAGAGCCCCGCGGGGGGCCCGCCCTCCCGCACGTCTCGGAAGATCCTGCTGTTTCCAGAGCCACAGACCCGTCCTGACGCCTGCTCTTACCCCCGTGGATGCCACCTTTGCTCAGGGTGGGTCTCCCTGGGGGCTGAGTTCCAGGGTCGCCCCTGGGCTCCGTCATGTGACTTGTGTGTCAGAAGGAGAGGCCGAGCCCAGGGCTTGGTCTGGGCCAAGAAAGACGCCCAGGCTGTGTCTGGAGTGAAGAGCCGTGGGGCAGAGCAGTGAGCGTGACGGTGCGGGTCTGGTTACACGGAACAGACGCCCCGCCCTTCCCTGGGTGTCCCGCCTGCTCTCACGCAGATACGCACTCTGGGCTGTGGGTGCTCGGACTTTCCTCCTTTGCTCTGCACGCTCCTGGGCCACTCGAATGGTGTCGGTGAGGAGTCGTTCACACACTGAACGTTAACCCGCACGCCGCCCTGTGGGACGGCGTGTCAGGTGGGACATTTTAACACAATAGGACGCGTCCATTCCTTGTCTCCAGTTGGGAGCTCACTCAGTGTGCAGGCCCCCCAAACGCCAAGCCCCCCAGCCCACCCCCGCCCCCGAGATGTGCCGTTGACTGAGAAACAGTCTCTTTCCTTTCGTTTGTTTTTGCCGAGGCCTTGAATATGTGCACAGCAGGTTCGTGTGAGAGACGTCTCCCTCAGCGCCTGGGCTCGCCCTGGGAGCCCCGTGCCACAGGGAAGAAGGGTCACAGGAAGGCCACTGTGTCTCCCCAGCTTCGTGGGGGGCGGGTCTTCCCCTGGGTCTTTCTGGAGCCTGCCGGGGTCAGCGCTGCCCCTCTGGGGAAGACTGCGATGATAAAGGAAGCACTTGGTCATCTCGTCTCAAAACCTCCCAGTTGTTTGCTTCGGATACGTAGAGCCAGAAGGAGTTGCCCCGTTTGGCTGCTGCGAAATGGGGTGATGACCTGGGCGGCCCCCAAGGCCCGTCCGCCGCTGCTCACACGCCTGTTCTCACCGAGTGTTTGCTTCTCCCCGCAGTACGTCGGGAGCCTGGACGTGCCGCGGCCCAACAGCCGAGTGGAGATCGTGGCTGCCATGCGCCGGATCCGGGTGAGCGCTGGGGCGGGGCTGCCCCCTGGCCCCCGGGCCCTCTCCCCACACTGCAGGGGGGCTGTTCCCAGTGGGGGCGTGGCCTCGATCAAAGGCCAGGGTCCGAGTGGATGGGTGTCTGCAGGGGCACCATCCTTCCCCTCAGCGGACCTGCTGCCTCCACCTGGAGATGCCTGGTGCCCTGGCTGACGGATGTGCAGGGCCCAACAGGGTATGGGGGGGGGATGAGGGACGGGCTTGGTCAGGAGCAGTTAATTAGCACCAAACAGTAAAAGCGTAAAGCCGTTAACTGTGGTAGAGAAGGTAAGGTTTACTTGGAATTTTGAGACCAAGTGTGGGATTTCACCCATTCCCTTGGCCAGTTGCTTTGGGCTTGGGAAGTGGGTGTGCCTCCCCCCTGCTGCTGAGGGCCCTCGGGAGCATGTGCGGGACGCTCCCTCCTGACTCGGGTGCAGGGCAGAGCGTACGCACTAAGGTGCCTTCCTCTGACTGCTGTGAAGGGCTCTGTCCAGGTGCCGGCCCTGAGCGGGAGAGGTCACTTCAGGTCTGTGCATGCTGACGGTAGGCTCCGATTGGCCGGGCGAGTTGCTGTGACTTTGGAAGTGAGTGGGTGTCGGGTGGCTGGGAGTCACCCTGGGTGCAGCCTGTTTGGGTTCTTTGTCCTTGGGGGGAACCCACTGCTCCCCCAGGTCCCCCCTTTACCCGTCATCCACGGGGCCCTGTGCCAGGAGCGCTGTTCCTGTGACCTGCTTCCAGGGCTTAATGAGCAGCTCGTTAAGTTGGAGGGAGAAATTCCTTGGCCACAGAGCTGCTCGGTTGGCCGCCCACACCCTGTGTGGACTGGCGGCACCCACTGCTCGAGCTCGGGTGTGGGTGTCCTGCGGCCCCCAGTGCCCAGGGCAGGGACGTCAGGGCGGGGCTGCAGCTGTCAGGGACTGGGGCGCAGCGTTTCCGTGTGGAGGGCAGTCCTTGGCTTTGTCCTTTACGTTGAGCAGGGTGAGGCCAGTGTTGGGCAGGTCAGGGCGGGGTTCGGGCCACTGGGTGCTTTATGGAACTCACCAGACGCAGGCCTCCCAGCCTGGCCAGGGCAGCGGCCGGACCCAGGGCACAGGTAGGACACGGGTCACAGTGTTCTCATGGGTGCCGTGTGCTGTGCCCCGCCCGCCCTGTAGACGTCCCCTCCCTGACCCCGTGTGCAGCTCTGCGTGGGTCCGTGGGCGGGCAGTTCGGGGGGCAGCACCCCCGAGGGGCAGACTTGCCCTCGCCCGGCTCCTCTCCTTCCCAGCCCCGCCTCTGGGTGACCCCTCCGAGGCAAACAGCAGACTTGGTTCCTTCCACTGCCTTTTCTCCCCTGTTTCCGGGTGTTCTCTCCCGTGTAGATTTTCTTCTAAGAGTTGGTGTTGAGCTCAGGGACATTTCCCTTCACCTTCTTCGCTGCTTCCAAGGTTGCCACGCAGCCCGGCCACGCCGAAGGGCGCAGGCAGTTCCCTGAGTGTACTCACGTCACAGTGCGGGTCTCTCCGAACCTGTCACCCTTCTGAACGGGAGCTCTGCCCCCGTCACACCCTCCCCCACCCCGTGTGCTGCATCTCTGGTCAGAGCAGCTTCTGCCGCTCCTGCCTCCACTGGGACGCACAGCAAGGACCTTCCTCCGTGCTCAGGGCGCTGGGGGCACCCCTGCCTCTCAGAGGGACGTGGGGCCCCTCAGGCTCCCACCCCTGACGTGCAAGGAGCTCCACCTCGCTTCCCGTCTCCAAGGCAGGAAGGACCTCGTGAGGGAAGGCCTGGGGCCATGGAGCAGACGGCCCCCAGCTCCGAGGTCCCGGAGGACCGCCCGTGGCCTGCCCCACCGCCTCTGGCCCAGCGTCCCTGTGGGTGCGCCCCTCACACGGCCGGCCAGGGGACAGCCCTGGGTGTCAGTAGGGCTGTTACTGGCTTTCCATAAACTCCCTTGTAGACCCGGAGGTTCCTAGACCCTGGGTGCCGCCCCATTTCGATGTCCCAGAGGCACCTCAAGTTCAGCGTGTCCAAGGCCAAATCCATCGTTTCTGCAGCCTCTTCTCTTTGCTCGGAGCCCCCTCCCCTCTGTGTTTCCTTCTTTCCAGGGGTCTCATTGGGAGGCATCCGACCCGTGCGGAGTGTGAGCTGGGAACCTCAGGGTCACCCTCAGTGCTTCCGTCAGCAGCCCTCCCATCAGTCACCCTCCTACATGTTTCTCAAACGCACGCCTCCCTCTCCATCCCCAGCTGGGGGGGCCCAGGTCACGTGACACACAGATACTGGCAGTGGCCCGCCCCTTCCGCCCCCACGCTGCTGCCCGGCTCACGTGTCTATGGGCAGGTCTGAAGGGGTGGTTGTCTCGGGACCCTGTGGCTCCTCACCTGGAGGAGGCTGAACTCTGAATTCCCCTGGCACCCGGGGCCCTGCACATGTCCCGGGGCTGCCTCTGCCCGGGAGGCACCCCTTCTCTCTGTGGCTGCCCCTGTCTCCTCAGGTATCCTCCATAAGCCTCCCTTCTAGAAGCTTCCCTCTAGAGACCTCAGTCCATTCACCACACTGGTAAAGGTAACAAAGGGAAGAAGGGCTCCGAGTCCCCCCAGACCTGCCTTCTCTGGCAGACGGGACCTCCACCGCTGCCCTGTGTGGAGCGGGGGCTCCCACGGCCGCACAGTGCAGGCGGTGTGCCTGGCCAGGCCACCTCAGACCGCTGGACTCCCCCGGCTTGGGGAGGGGCCAGGCAAGTCCCCCAGGGGGCACCTGGGGGTTGGAGCACAAAGCAGCCCCTCCTGGCTGGGTTTCGGGAGGGGCAGGGACCGGCACCCGCCCCCCAGATCTCACCTCTGCAGGCCCCGCCCTGGGCTCCGTCACCGAAACCTGCTCCTCAGACCTGGTGAGGTTTCTTGGTTGGTTTGCACATCTGGTCTCCATTCAGCAGGATGACAGTTACGTCGGGGGGGGGGGGTCCTGCCTTTACACCACCCACCCTACGGGACCAGGGTCGCAGCCAGGGGGTTCACTGCGAGAGCTCGTGCTGTGCTACGTAGGGTTTTCGCTTCCGTCCCTTCCCAGACGCCCCGGTGTGTACTGGTGCTGCCGAGCAGGCGGCCGCCGGCGTCAGGGCCCAGGCTCCGTGCGCAGGGCCACGCGGGCTGGTGGCGAGCGCCCCTCCCTGCGGTTGGCACTAGGCCTGAGTGTGGGTGCTGAGTCTGCCTGGCCAAGCTTTGCCTGTGGGGGGACCATTGAGGACAAGGTGGGGGGCGGGGTGAGGGCGTGGCCCGCCCGGCAGCAGGAGGGACGTCGGATCGTGGGCCCTGCACTGACGTCAGGTGGGGGGGCGGGCAGGCCTCCATCACAGTTGGGGCTTTGCCACCTGTAGCCCAGGCCCAGGGACTGGCACCTAAGGGGGTTTGGTGGGGCCCGACCTTTCCATGGGTGTGACAACGGTCACATGACTTTCAGAGTCCCTGCCGGACCTTCCTGCCCTCGGGCAGGCGCACACTGAGGCTGCCTCTCTCCCCCGGGTGGCCTGCGGCTCCTCCCCAGTGTCTCAGCAGTATCTCCTCTCCCAGTCCCCTCTCCTGCTGGGCGGGCTCTTCACCCCCAGGTTCCCTCTTCTTTTTTATTTTTGTTCTCACCCAAGGGTGTGTTTGTTGATTTTAGGGAGGGAGAGGGGAGAGACAGGGAAACATCGACGTGAGAAAAACTTCTATTGGCTGCCCGCCGTGTAAGATTTGAACCCACAACCCTTTGGTGCACAGGACAGCGCTCCAACCAGCCAGGGCAGGACACATTTTAATTGGTCCGAGGAGCTCAGGCCGTGGGCACGTCAGGCGGACAGGGAGGAGGAGGGGCGCGGGCTGTCTTCCAGGAGGGCCCTGCACTGGGCCCCTCCGGCGGAGTCTGAGTTGCCTCCCACGACCACCGGCCCCGGAGCCGAGCCTGCCCGAAGCAGATTCCTGCAAGCAGCTGCCCAGAGGCCTCAGTCCGATTTCTCTCCAGCCCAGACGGTGGACAGAGTCCACACGATGGCACTCAGCGGGGAAGGACCCCGAGAACCCTGGTGCCTGGGCTCATCTGCCTCGCCGACGCTCCTGTCCGGGGAGTGTCTCTGCTCCACTCCCCTCCGAGCGTCCTCCTCTGGGGGTCCCCCTCCGGGGGTCCTCCTGTGCCGCAGTGCTCTCTGCACCATGCGGGGGTGGGGCACCCAGCTGGTGTCTCTGTGTATCTTCTCCAGGCCCCACGTGGGGGAGGGAGCAGGGAGGACATTCCTGCCCCCCCCCGCCCCCCCAGGACTCCCTGGTGCTGATCTGTGATTTACTGAGCTGCTGGAGGGTCTGTGTTTGGGCTGCAGGGGAAGATAAGGGATTCCAGACATTCTTGCTGCTCCATCCAGAGTGCTGGCCAGACGCCCTTCCTCCCCCGTCCTCACCCTCGTTAGGAGATGAGACCGGTGGGACGCAGGCTGGCGCAGGGGGTGCGGCGACGGAGGCCAGGGGCTTGTCTGCGTCCGGGTGTGTGGCTCGTGCTCAGCTGGGAGGGGACTGTGCCCCGAAGTGAAGGGAGTGGGCTGGGATTTTAGGTCAGCGAGAGCATCTTGGTCCCCCAACCCCATGTCCCAGGTAACCTGAGTGACGGAGGCCAGTGCTTCTCCAGGTGTGGCCCCGAGGCCAGCAGCCCGCCTGGGAGCCTGTTAGAGGGGTGCCCTTGGCCCCACCCACGACTCTGGCCCAGGAGCTCGGGGTTTGAGGAGCCCTCCGGGTGGTCTTGATGAACGTCGGCGTGGGAGCTGCGATCCCGGCCGTCGGCCTGGCCTCTGGGGTCCTCAGGACGTCTCAGGCTCCGGCCTGAAAGCTGTTGCCCTTAAGATGACTCTGTTGGACTAGGCAGGCCCAGGAGAGGTTCCCAGAGGCAGGCAGTTGTGTTTGGCGACTGGCTGGTGGGAAGGTGGGAAGGAAGGGCCTTTGGAGCCGGACATGGGCAGCGCAGGCTTGTCGAGTTTG